ATATATACTAATATGTATCACACAATATGAATATAATGTAACCTTTTATTATTGATTAAAATTAAAATCCAAAATTTCTGTTTAAATAAAAGAGAAATTACAAGTGTTTACAAGTGTTTGAACATGTCTTGTTTCTAGTTAAAAAAAAACTCAAATAAAATATAGAATAATTACAAATTGTGTCCTTGTGATAATTGAAATTTTTTGATTGGATTCCTCAAATAATTATATGTATGGTCATTATTGTTTTATTATTGTTATGAATTGGGTTCTCTACCTAACTCCACTGACCATTGCTACGTTAAGTCAGGGTTATATTGTCATTTTTCTTTTTTCTTTTTTTGAAACATAAAAAATAATATAATATAATATATAACATATATAGATATATATATAACATTGTCCCTTCACCGGCTCAACATCGTCCCAGCCAATCCCTTCTTTCGATGAAGGCCATCTTCGACCATCACCTTGTCCCCCTCCGATCATCCCAACTAGTACTTTCCATATACACCACAACCTGCACTCCTCCGATGAAGGCCATCGTCCCCTATCTCCAACCACTCACTACTGCTTGTTCTTCCTCCCCATAATCCTCCTCTACTCCCTCCAACAACTGCCACAACGTACTTCAAGAGTTCATCAATCAAACTCGTTGAGTTCATCATGTCCATAAAGGGTTAGGCGAATCGGTAGTTCCAGATCCATTGAGTTTATCTGATAAGGTCCTTTTTAGTTGTTGCTTATTGTTTGAATAGGTCAAATATGTGCTGGTCTTTAGGAACTAGCCGTTTTTTTCAGTTCACAATTGTTTATCGTGGGCTATTTTTATGCTTTCTGTTATGTCTTGTAAACTCTATTTAAGGAGCCTTAATTGTGTTGAATAAAGTAAAGGGAAAACCATTTTTGGGTTCACATCTTACTTGTTTCATTTTTGACTTTATCATTTGGTATCAGAGCCATACAGGGTCCTTGATAGAAAAGTCTAAAACATCAACTTCTTATGAGTGATTCATCTGCAAGGCAAGATGAGTGATGTCAAATCCCTCACCAAAATTCCAACCTTTGATGGTCACTATGACCACTGCAGTGAGCTTATGGATAACTTGTTGAGAGCCAAGGGACTTTGGACTTTGATCGCTGAAGGATTTCAAGAACCACCATCGGGAATAGAGTTGAGTGCGGCTGAGAAAAGGCTGAGTGAGGAGAAGAGAACACTTGATTATCAGGTAAAGCATAACATCTTCCAAGCAATCTGTCGTAGATTTTGGATCGCCGAACAACAAAGATTGTATGGGATGCAAATTTGGCAGTAGTGAGAGTGTGAAAAGGTCTCTTCTGAATTGCTCAGGGGAGAGATCGAAATACTCATGATGAAAAGTAATGAAACCATCTCGGAGTATTTAGCTAGGATAATGGCGGTGTCGAATAAAATGAGGAGCAACAGAGAGGAGATGCTAGATTCCAAGATTGTGCAAAAAATCTTGCAGACCCTAAGAGAGAAAACGTATGTGGTTGTTTCAATTGAAGAATCAAAAGACACAACCAAGATGTCTATCGATGAACTCCAAAGTTCGTTGATGGTCCATGAGTAGAAATTTCGTAGGGCATATGAAGAAAAAGAGGATCATGTTTTGAAGGTGGAGGAAAAGTTTGGAACCAGAGGCAGGGGCCGATTTTCTCCAAGAGGAAGAGGCTGAGGAAGGGGAAGAGCGTACTTCAACAAAGCAGATGTGGATCTATAAATGTCACGGTTGTGGGCATTTTCAATATGAATATCGGGCATGGAGCAACGAGGCAAATTATGCGAAACTTGATCAAGAAGATGACGTTTTGCTGATGGCATATATTGAAGATCATGGATCAAGGAAAAAGGATGTCTGGTTTATTGATTCTAGTTGCTCTAACCACATGTGAGGCGATAAAGGTATGTTCACTAATCTGGTAACGGAGTTTAAGCATTCGGTCAAATGTGGGAATGATAGTAGAATGAATGTAGATGGAAAATGCAGTGTAAGATTGGTGTTTAATGGTCGGAATTTTGTGGTGAGTGATGTATACTATGTTCCTGAACTCAGCAACAACCTGTTAAGTATTGGTCAGCTGCATGAGAAAGGAATTTCTGTACACATGCAAAATAACGCGTGCAACATATATCATCCAGAAAAAGGTTTGATTGCTTGTTTTAAAATGAGCACGAACCGGATGTTTGTTTTGTTGAACGAAAAGATGACTAACCCAATTCAACAGGTTGAAGCATGTCTCTACAGTAGTGTTTCAGATCCTACTTCTCTTTGGCATAAAAAATATGGACATCTGAGCTACAAGGGGTTGATAACTCTAACAACCAAAAGGATGGTGAGAGGTTTGCCACAACTTGAAGTCCCTAAAGTTACCAGCACGGATTATCTAAGAGGCAAGCAATACCACAACGTTGTTCCAAAAAGTAGTGAATGGAGAGCAAAGAAGTTGTTGGAACTCATCTATGCGAATATTTGTGGTCCGATCGATCTTGCATCCAATAGTGGAAAAATGTATATTTTTTATCTCATTGATGACTTTAGCCGAAAGAGTTGGGCATACTTGTTAGTTGCAAAGTCCGAAGCTTTAAAGTTTTTAAAGAAGTTCAAGCAAATGGTGGAAAAGGAGACAGGAGAGTCGATCAAATGTTTGAGGACAAATCAATGAGGAGAATTCACATACCTGGACTTCAAGACTTTCTGTGAAAAACATGCCATCAAGCGTCAACTTACCACTACATACACCCCTCACCAAAACGGGGTTGCGGAAAGAAAGAACATACCTACGATGAACACGGTGCATTGTATGATGGTTGCAATGAAGATGCCAAAGCCATTTTGGATGGAAGCTATTATGTGGGTTGTCTATCTACTAAATTGATGCCCCACACTTGCTGTCATGAACAAGACTCCACAAGAAGCATGGTCGGGGGTAAAGTCTTATGTTGCCCACTTCAGAATATGGGGATGCGTGGCTCACGTTCATATTTCATATGCTAAACGAAGTAAGTTAGATGACAAAAGCTTTCTGTGTGTATTATTGGGGGTTAGTGATGAGTCTAAGGGATATAGATTATTTAATCCCACGACAAAGAAAATAGTGGTAAGTAAGGATGTTGTATTTGATGAACAACATTCATGGGATTGGGGTTTAGATTATGAAGAACAAATAAAGAAAGACTTCATATGGGAACATAGTGATAAGGAGTTTGTAGAATACAATGATGAACACAATGAGGATAGTGATATGGAGTTTGTAGAAGACAGTGAGGGCAACTCTCAAACTAATAATGATGCTAATGGTGAAGTTGGGAATGGTGAGAGTAGCTCACAAGTTCCTGGAACACAAGGGAGACAAAAGAGGCAGCCAACATGGATGAGAGATTTAATTAGTGGAGAAGGAATGAATGACGAGGAAGCAGAGGCTTACATGATACAATATGTTATCAATGAAGATCCAACTTCATTCGAGGAGGCCGTATAACATGAAAAATGGAGGAAGGCGATGGATAGTGAAATAAGTTCAATCGAAAAAATCAGATGGGAGTTCATAGATCTACCTATTAATGCAAGAACAATCAGTGTGAAGTGGATCTACAAAACAAAGCTGAATGAACTTGGTGAAGTTGACAAATACAAGGCCCGGTTGGTCGCCAAGGGGTACTCGCAACAATA